CTCTGCACTGTAGAAAATAGCTTTATGACCACTGATCTTTCAGCGGTTAAAGTAATTATAGCATCTGATTATAGCTTCTGATTTTTCTTCAAAGTAGGTGTGTGTGCTTGTTACAGTGATTGTATTTAAAGTGCTCTGCACTAATATAGCATATCTTGAGTTTAGTATTTCCTTTCGTATTACTGACACTGAATAAGGGAGTATAATTTATAGAGGTAGCATCCCGTTAATAGAAGTGGGAATTAAAGAATATACCAAATTTCACAAGCAAGACCAAATCCCTTTAAATGCTGAACTCAGAAATGGATACTTCTATATTGACTGTAGGAAAGGCTTACAAGACTGGAGCTTATTATTTCCTATTCTTATCCATAGTATTTTTCTAGAAGGCATGCATGGAGACATGCAGGCATGCAAGAATATTTTACTCATTTGGGGTAGTAATTAGGGAATGTATTTGCAGGAAGTAATTGGTGGATCCTGTAGACTCTGTAGTAGAATTTTATCTTGAATCCAGGGTTGTTTTAGCACTGGCCCTCCGTGTTCTTCTGGTCTGCTCTCAGTGAAAAGCAGAATTCCTGTCTGCTGCTAAAAGTAAGTAAACCCTTTTAATCTGGGCATTTTGAGATGAGCACTTTCTTATGGAGACAGTAGAGTTGCTGAACAATATGATGATGTTTTGCCTTATCTCTTGAGGGACCTCAAATTTTGTGCCCTTGAAGTCTCTAGCCACAAGATCAAGCATTGAATTTCAGTGGAGCTTCTCTAGTCACTGGGAAGGGGGCTCGGCTGGGGTGATTGAGTTTAGCTGTTTTGTGAACCTGCTATTCCTCAAAAAGTTCTCACTGAATCACAGCATTTGCATGACAAATTAGGATCAGGTTTTTGATACAGTTGCTTATTCAGTAGTTCCAGTACCATAGGACTACTTGAAGATTGTCAAATTATGGCCAGGTTTTTGATGATTCAGCAATTCCAGTATCATAGGACTGCTTGAAGATTAAGGTGCTGCTCAGCATGAGGAAGAGTGTTAGAATTTGCCCATAGAGTCATTGAAGCTCTTATTCTGGAGAGTTAGGTATTTCAAAAAATTTTCCAAATGTAGTAAGCTCAAGTGTTTTGGGTGGCGTTCTTCCTACCTCAGAGCACGATTATTCTGATGACCTAAAAGCTTCAGTGCATTCTACTTCTGGTTTTGTTCTTTTTGCAGCAGGTGTGTTTTATGCGTGCTCATAATCATCTTTATTGTTATCTAAAAATAATTGTTTTAAAGAATAAAATCGGTGTGTTCATGGTTTTCTCAAAATCATCATTTTCTTGAAAATTTTAATGGGCAGTAAAGCCAAACAGGACATGTATGTAGAAGGACACTCGAGGTAGTTGAAATTGCTGCACCATAAAAAAAAGAAGAATCTCAGAGAGAGCAAACATAATATTCTAAAAGCTAAAGAAGTGATGAGTGTTTTTTTCTTTTTGTGTTTAAGTGTTCCCCTTGAAACACTTGACAGGGGCCTGATTTTCTGGAGACTTCCTTTGAAAGTAAGACTTGCTGATGCCTCACCTTAGGTACTCAACATCACTAGACACTTTTGAGAAGTAGGGCTCAAAATGCTGTCATACGACAGCAAAAGCAAATATATCTGTGCATATGCAAGCTGTTAGCCCCCAGTAAGGGTATTTGACTTACTTTAGCTCACAGTGAAAGATTTAAACTAAGCTGAATCACTTCAGATTTTCTAAAGGATTAGCGTGATCCTTTAAATACTGCAGGGCCTTGACTGATAATAAATAACTCATTAATTTTTGGTTGTTTAAGTTTTGTATTTAAGTTACCACTTAAACTTCAAAAAAAAATAAAAAAGAAAAACTTAAAAATGTGCTACATCGTCAATTTCTTCTTTAGTTGTATTTAATACCACTCTTGCTGGCGATAGTTCAGTACATCGTAAAATGTTTCATCTCTCTGAATAGAGATAAAAATAAGGAATATCTCAGTGTTGCTTTCATTGTGATTATTGAGAAGAAACTAGGAAATAGAGTTAAATAAAAGGTAGAACACTTTCTCGGTACCTATAGGAACTTCTCAAAAATTAGCTTTTGTTTCTAAGTTATGATGCAAACAGGATAAGCCAGTGTTAGAAAGGAAAAATGGAGCCAATAAAGAGGGTTTCTGATTATAATAGCTGGTTTCTGTTTAATATCATTGAGCAGGATGAGGTTTTGCAGAGTTTCTCATGGAAATAGCATCCACAGTACTAAAATGATTACCTCATTCTTAGTACCAGTGCCAAGCACTTAGCCCCGTAGTGAACACACGGGGTTGATTTTCAACATGAAACAAGCCAGAAGGGTGGTATGACATTTTCAGGTGACAGTTATGGTTCTATTGCCTGTAATTAGCACCTCTTAACATGCAAACCTGCCTGTGCCCTCTCCAGGCTGTCGAGGCTCAAATACGAAGTTTTGGACAGACCCCTTCTCAACTGCTCATAGAACCACATCCTCCGAGAAGTTCGGCAATGCAGGTGGTGAGTGCCCTGTTAAGTCTTTGTGACCAACCATTTAGCTCACTTTCTTTGCTGTTCTCAAGTTATCTTATCTGCAACTTTGTCTGTCTCTTTTGTGGTCATGGAGCTGTGTTATTAAGCGTAGCAGATGAGTTACGAGTTTGCGGGGCTGGTAGTGTATGCAGTCCTTTACTGTTATAATATTTATTGCTAAAATGATTGTTTTGATTCCTAGTACAGCCATTTTTTTTTGTCAGTATATTCTAAGAACACTTCATCAGTTTATTTTGTTAATGCCATACCTGTACAGGTGAGAGCCAGTCTTCGTGGACACAATTTAGTTAATCTTTGGCAGATTCCTTGAGAAGCATGGATTTAGGAGGTGGAACTTCCTTGTCTTTTCCCCCAGGCATAGGTTTTCCCCTAAACCCAGGATTACTAGGAATTCATGAGCTGAAACTTGCACAGCAAAGAATGTGACTAAATGTGTTTTGCAGTAAAGCTAGGGTGATAAAATCCAGGCAGTGAGCATTAACATGCTTTCCCTTTTACCTCTACTCGTATCTAATATAATTTTATTATACAAACTATTATTTTATTACTGATTACTTTCCATATCACGTTGGTCTAAAATATCATTTGTGTTGTCACAGATCCAGAACTAAGTATGTTAAGTGATACTGTGACAAGTGGAGCAAATGGTTTGCTAATTCACAACTTTTTCCAAAGGTTACATTCCCGTGCTGCTAAGACAGGCATTTTAGAATGAAATATAGAAGAGGAGATTTTCCTCTTGTTTATTCTGTAAACTGGATATCCTGCTCTGTCGAACTAGGGTTATTAGATTAAAAATGTACCTGAAAAGCAAGATCCTTTAGAGAAGATCTACAGAAACGGGAAAATGTTTGCAGGGTAGCCTCCAAAGCATGAACCACAGGGGTCTAAGCAGTGTAAGCTTCCTTGTCAGAGCTGCTAGCTGGTCTCCAATGTGAACATGCCAGGCATCATACATGGGGCTCGCTCTGCCGAACGTCTGTGATGTTCCCTCGTTCAACAGAACTTGTTCCCAAGTTCTGTGATGTTCCCTCGTTCTAGCTCCCATGGTTATTTGGGCTGATGTGCACACAGAAACAAAACCATAGTCCTTCACTTACTTTAACCATTTCTGCAGTTATTAATGCATAAAACTTTTATAGTAGCAGTATTTAAAGCTTTTTTAAAGTAGTTTTGGGCTTGCCTGAGGCTGAAATATAACTAGGATGTTTTCTCATTGCCTGTCTGAATGCTTTTTAGTTGCTTTATTTACTAAGTTTTTTGTTTTCATGTTTGTGTGCCTGTACGCATGAATACAACTGAATGGAAAGCTACCACGTGCTGTGTTAAGTGCACAAGCCATAATATACACCAGGTGTAGTAATTAGCAGTCACACGAAGGCTGCCTATTTGTCTGGTTTTGCTGCTGTTGCTGTATCCCCCTGTGTTTTCCACCATCAGATAGCTGGATTTAATTGAGGCCACATCAGATGAGGCATTACTGACACCTTTAATTGAATGAGCATCCAGGGAGGATTAACTCATAATATTGATTGGCTTTTAGCCACTTGCTCAGAAGGGTGTCTGGGTAGCTTATTAGTTGCTTTTATTTACACCTTTATGCAAAGACTGTAAATAGGAATTCATAGAGCAATATGTTTTTTTAAGTACTCTTAATAACTTTTTAAAAAGGAGTGATAATAAAAATGCAAATGTATTTAATTTTTTTATTAGTTCTGTATAAATATACATTAAATGTATGCACTTACATACACATATATGTAATGAAATATTGCAGATGGAAAGCAGCCAAGAACACTTCATTAGAGTACTAATTCAGTTATTAGAAAAATACAAATACGAGAGGAATATGGCGAACAGAAGCTAGCATGATTATAGTTCTACATCTTAATGGATTTGTCTTTTTTTGCTATGCAGCACAGTCACAAACTCACTAAATTCTGATTCTCTTTCTAGTATTTGACATCCAGATCTAAGATCCTTAACTTTTTGTTTCAACATTTGCGGTGTTGCTAGCGATCCTACTTTAAAAGCTATTATTCCTATCTATTAAATTTGAAAACTAAAACCTAAAAACACAGTGCTGAGAATGAGTCCGGATTCATTCCTTCCCTTAAATATTTCTAGAAACAGCATAGTAGAGTGTCTGTGATCACGTCCACTTTATATTCTTTACAACTGTATTTAATTATGTTTGTCCTTTGAAACACATTTCAGTGAAGTCTTCTGCTTTGCATTCATAAATCTTATTTTTGTACACCAGAAGTATATACAGAACATATATCTGGTGTATGTGTGTATCTGTTTATTTTAATGTGCTTTTATGTTCTCATCTGGCTTGTAAAGAATTGTAGTCTGCCAATTTAGTGCAACTTGAGACAATCTCTGGGAGCAGGAATTTCTTTCACTCACTTTTTTCTTTCTCTGTTCCCTCCTATTTTGGCACCACTTTTCTTGACAGGCTATCTCTGTAGATATGAAGGAGAACTCTTTTGGCAGAGACAGGCGGTTGGAAAGTTTTAGTGTGATCTGCAGTGATCTGCAGCAAAGTTGGAGTGTAGATACCCCATATTCAGCAAGGCTCTCAATTGTATATGGGAAGATGGTCTCCCCAAAATGGTTGTTTCCACTAGCCTGTCTACTGTTACTGCATTTGCTTTCACTGCAGCTGCTACTGGAGCATGTGTATTTTAATCCAATCTTCCTTCTCTTGTCCCGTCCTGTCTTTTTTTCTCTCCTCCCCATGTCTTCTCTTCCCACGTATTTGGGTTCTTGTTGTGTGCACTCAACAGTATCTCCTCCTGCAGAGCCCGTTGATGTTCACAGACCAAGCTCAACAGGATGTTATAATGGTTCTCAAGTTCCCATCCAACTCCCCTGTCACTCATGTAGCTGCCAACACCCAACCTGGCCTGGCCACTCCTGCTGTGATCACAGTTACTGCAAATAGGTTATTTGCTGTAAACAAGTGGCATAATCTTCCTGGTAAGTAAATTCAAGTAAGTAGCATAAGAAATCCCTACCACCAAGTAGCATTTCTGTTTTCTGTTTCAGAATTTGCTGTATAGAAAGAGTTACATTTTAAGTGTGAATTGCTAGTCCAGTTCATTGACACAACATGCTTTTCATGTGTAGACTTTGAAATAAGGTCACCCAAACCATTGTGTGGTGAGGTATGTAGTACACAAAAGGAATGTAACAACAGGCCTCTATTCAGAAAAATACTACTTTACAGGCCATAAAGCAATATGCAAGAGGACAAAAATAATATATCACTATTTTATTATAATAAACAGTCACACTTGTCCTCTTAAATTTGTTTTCTAATCAGATATCCAGATAATGGAAGCCTGAACAATATCATGTCTAGGGCAGATTTTAAAGTACACACAACTTCCCTGAAATCTGTTCTGCTAGCTTTTTCTTGTTGATTATGAATACCATGACCTAATCTTAAAGCCATTCAATCTGTATTGGAAGATAAAAATACATGGGAAGTCTGCATCTTCTGCAAGTTAAACATCCCAAAGTTATTAGATGCTCATATATTTGCCAGTATGAAAGGGAAACAACATATTCATATGCATAGCAACCAATCAAATTAATTACCTTTAAAAAAATGTGTTGGACTTGAGAATATAGCTGTTCTGTTTTCAATTCCAATATCCTGTAATCCTTAAGGGACTCATCCTCTTTTTCTAAATATGACAGCTTCAAGCCCGAGCCCTGAAAGGTAGTTTGTTTCTTGTGCTCTGCAGTAAATTCCTATCTGGTCAAAGGCCTTTCAACAAAGGGTGGAAAAAAAAAAAAGGCTTAAATAACTTAAATAGAAGATATTTGCACCAGAGAAATTCTTGCTAAGAAATTTGATACCCATTTGATACCCATGATCCTTGATTACATTAAAAAAAAAAAAGCCAAGTGACTCCCACACTTTTTTGCTAACTGTTACAAATCACCTCTCAACATTGTGCAAATAGAAACATCTATGTATTACTTCGCACACCCAAGAAATGTTTAAAAAGAGAGGTGGGAAGGAAGTGGGGAGGGGAGGCAAGTCTCGTTAACAAGTCATGAGCAGAAGCTACTGACGATGCTCTTGTCTTTGTTTGGAAGGAGGATGACAATATCCTCTCATGCCTTGGATGTATGACCTTGTGCAGATAGTCCGCAGACTGTTAAAAAAAGAAAAAAAAAAAAAAGGAAAATCAGACGATCCTCTACAGGGATATCTAACAATCATGGGAACAGAAGAGGTCTTACAGTGTTAGGAGTTATATTGGATTTCCTCATGGGCCTATTGACTGATGATCTGTAAGCAAGCAACCAATTGTTGTGAATAGCAACCTTCAGGGTATTTTTTTTCTCACTTCTGACAGGCAGGATGCTAAGCTGCACTTTTGCATCACTATTTCATAGTTTAGAACTGTTTTAATAGTTCTTCTCCATTTACAAAAAGCTCAATAAAGCAAATAAGGAAAACCCAAGCAGACTCAAAAAACCTCCCCCCACACCTTTCTGAGAGCAAACCGATCATAGCTGCTGGCTGTTAAAGGACAGCCCTTAAGAGATCTGGATATGGATTCCTGAAACTAGCTTGCATTATTATTGCCTACACCAAAATGGTGTTTTGCTGGAGTTAGAGGGCAGGTATCATTACTACTGTGCATCCTGCTGGGCACTTAGCATTCTCTTTACTAATGAGGCATCATGATAAGAAAGTTAAGTTGCCAAGTGACCAGTTGTCACTGATGTGTAATTAAAAATCCCATTCCTG